TAAACATCTTGAGGAGAACTCTAGGTGCGCTGCGGAGCCTATCGGACCCAGCGCGTGTACCTTAGAGCTGGCTATAGGGGTCTGATCAGCCTCTCGCCTCTCCCCGTCGCCGCCTGATCCCTCGACGTACCCTTCCCTGCGCGCAAGTTCCACGGAGCCTAGCAAACTTCGTGTGAGTGTATTCAGAGCTCTCTGCTTCGAGTAATTTTCTTCGGTTGACACAACGGGCTCGCGGTTTAGAGCCTTCAACCGGATTGGGCTAGAAGGTTCACGGGAAGGAACTCTAGTCCGCCTCTCTTCTTTTCTGTCTGTAACCGCAACTCAAGCAAGTCTTCCTGCCTGCACCGCGACCATCTTCGGTGTAAGTAAAATAATCTTAAATCAACTGCTAAGCGTCCGTGCCTAATTCTAGCGTGCCGCCTGCCTTCCCCGACCCGGCGTGTCCGGGCTGCTGGCCACAGCCCGCCGCGCGAAAAACCCCCCGAGGGCCTTGGACCGCTCCCGGCCCGCACAAGATGTACTCAGCCTTGGACACCACGACCTGGGCCATACAGGCCTAACAAAGCACTGGACCAACACCGGCAATGCCAGACCTATCAAACGGGGACCTCAGAGAGAACCCATCCATTTCCAGTGGCCGTCTGAGCAGCAGCTGCAAGAGATGCAGGAAAGAGACACCCTGAGACCCTCTTCAGCCCATGGGCTGCCCCTGTGGTGTTAGTACAGAAGAAAGTGTTACCTCTGTGTCTCAAACAGTGAGGATTTTCTCCTTTCAATGGATGGGCCTTTTACCAGGTCAGGAAACCACAGACAATCAGGCTTGGCATAAAGGCTAAGTTTGTAATCCTTTCAAAACTCATACAAATATCAAGCATTATGGATAGTCTACTACAATGTAATCAAGTCAACATAGATACTAACCGCCCTAAGAAATAACGAACGAGACATCCGTGGTTGATCGCTGCGTGAGGTCTCGCCGGGGGGTTCCCAGCTCCTACATCGGAGTTCTGCGCAGAGTAGCTGCCTTGGTCAGAGGATCAATGTTGAAGGTATTCAGAGCGGGCTGCCCAGGAACCAAGACTACTCCCCCAGTTTTATACCCATCTTATCTACATAACACACATTTCTCTATGGTTATTTATGTCACACATTTCTATAGCAACCTCAAATCTTGTATGTTGTTTTTTCTTAGTATTCATCATTCATCCTGACAGCAAAAACTGCATTTCACATACATGACTCTCACTGCTGGATGAGGGTCAAGCTACTTATGTCAAGAGGCCCTTATTTTAGGCTAGCAAAAGGAGGAGGTGTGGAGGTTTGTGTGGATCAACACAGACTGAATAATGCTGCTGTATAAGAGTGCCTGTGGGGTGCTGTGGGTACGGTAGAGCAGGGGGCCAAGACTGTAGGCCTGAAAGCCACATTAGCAAAATGCTTAGCAGAAACAACATCATTTTGTGCCTTGACAGAACTAACACCATGAACCGAAAGCAAAGCCAGAGGGTCATAGCTTAATAACCCACATCCGCAAAAAAGTTAGAAGAGGATGTAGTTGAGCAGTCTGAGACAGCAGGATGCTTACAGCAGCGCACAGGAAAACAGCTGGGAGGGGCTTGCCCTGCCCCTGCTTGGAGCGGGCGGATGTCATCTTGAATTGATGACATGCTGGCCATCCTGGCCAAAGCCCAATGGTTCTTCAGCTTTGATAAGCCCTATCTGATGGTGGGAGGGCTTTGCCCCATATGAGGGAAGGGAAACCAGATGTCTAAGTTTTCCTGCGCAATTTCAGTTCTCCTGGGTGGCCCCGGGCTGCAGACACCATCTCATCAGTCATCTGTCTGTCCATGGAAGTGAGTGGAGGCTGGACACTGGTAAGAGATGGCTGTTCCCCCAGCCCTCCAAGCCCTTCTCACCCACCACAGGAGTGAGGGCAGGAAGCCAGGACACCTGGGGTTTCTGGGAAAGGAGGGGAGTGAGTGTAGTGGGGAAGGGGTGCTGGGAGCCTGGATGCCTGGGTGAGAACTGGGAAAGGAATGGGGCATAGTGGGGTCTGGAGATGGAGGGGTCCAACTCCCCTCCCAGAGACCCCAGGGGTCCTGGCTCCCAGGTCCTGCCCCTCTACCCACCAGATCCCAGGTGTCCTGTTGTTCTCCATTTAGTGAAGGGGTGGGGTGAACAGAAATGAACTGCTCAGTTAGATTATTGTGGTCGCAAATCCTAACTTACTGAATACGAGCAATACTAGTATATAAGCAAGGCTCTAAATCAGTGGTTCCCAACTTGTGGTTGTGACCCCAAATGGGGTTGCAACATCAGTGGTTGGGGTTGCGATAAACAGGGATCAGTTGTGCCCCGACTGGTGCTGGGTGGGCATGGAGTGCCTCAGCTTAGCGGCCATGGTGGCTGCTGGGCCCTGGGGCCCCTAAGTGGAAGGCAGCAGGGCGGGAAGCCCCAGGCCCACAGCAGGCAGCCTGTATCCTTCGTCCCTGTGGGCTCTGCTCCAGCCATGGTGTCCACACGCCACACTGTTCAGGCAACAGCAGCTCCTGCCTCCCATGGGAACTGCAGGGGGGGCCTGGCTCTGGGACACTTGGGAGGAGTGCAGGGCTGCAGGTTGGGAGGGAGGAGCAATGGCAGAAACAGAGGGCTGTGGGTTACAGTTTTCTTCTGTATGTCCCATACACGGTTCTGTCACGAATGTAACCCGGGTACACCCAAGGGTGTGCCCTATTCTCAATTGGATGGGACGGCATGCTGAGCATGCTGGGCTTTAATTTACACCGCACCTGAAGGCTGCCAGACCTGCAAAGCTCAGTCTTCAATCAGGTCCAGGGGCTCCTCGCATCCCCCTGCTCCAAGCAGGGGCAGGGCAAGCCCCTCCCAGCTGTTTTCCTGTGCGCTGCTGTAAGCATCCTGCTGTCTCAGACTGCTCAACTACATCCTCTTCTAACTTTTTTGCGGATGTGGGTTATTAAGCTATGACCCTCTGGCTTTGCTTTCGGTTCATGGTGTTAGTTCTGTCAAGGCACAAAATGATGTTGTTTCTGCTAAGCATTTTGCTAATGTGGCTTTCAGGCCTACAGTCTTGGCCCCCTGCTCTACCGTACCCACAGCACCCAGTCCCAGTGCTGGGTGCTTCTCCGGGCATGCAATGAGCTATTAATGAAGCATCAGTGGATCCAGACCTTGAAGTAAAGTGTCACTAGGGAGAGGCAGAGATGGGGAAAGAGAAAATGAACTGGAAGCCTGAAAGCTGGGTTCATTGGAAAAGAAGTGGGGTCTGGGGGTTAGAGCGGCTGGGCTGGGAGCCCAGATGCCAGGGTTGATGCTGCCTTTGGGAGAGAGGTGGGATCTGGTGTGCTGAAGTTGGGGGAGGGAAAAACCCCACTTGGTGGGTTGGAGGGGGAAAGGGGAGACCCTGGATTCACTGGGAGGAGGGCAGGCTCACAGGGGTTAAATCCAGCAGCCAAGATCACTGGACCCCAGCTCCCTTCCCCTTTCTGGTGCCAGTTGGAGGAAAGAGGAAGCTGGAAAGAGCAGAGTCCAAGGCATCACCCGATGACACGAACGTCCCAGCTTCCTCATGCACAGAACCCATCTGCCGGGATCATCTTTTCCCAGCCGGCCCCTCACCCTGCCCCACTTGCTATCCCAAACCTGTGTTGTTCCCCCTCCACCATGGGAGTCATAGCCCTGGCAAGCCCATTGGTCTCAGCTTTTGGGAAGCATTTTGGGAAGGTGAAGGAAGAGTGCCATCCTGACCCATCATCTTGCTCCATCCTAGGTGAACCCTCCCTGTGGTGCTGCTGGCCTGCTCCCAAGAGATTATGGGAAACAAGCATGGACACCTGCGAGCATGAGACCCTGCCCTTTATAAGACCTGACTCCTACCATGCCTTGCTCCAACCCACCCAACCGCACTTCCCTCCCAATTAACCCAGGCTCCCAGCCTCCCTTGTGCTAACATCAGAACGGCCATTTCCTGGGTCAGATCATCCGCCCGTTGTGCCCAGACCCCTGTGTCCTGCAGCGGTAGAGAGCAGAGGGTGGATGGGAGGGTGACCGAGCTCTGAGCAGGGGTTTACTTGTGCTCGTGTTCTCAGGCCCCAGGCTGCAGAGCCCAGCAGGATGGAGGGTCTCTGGGAGGACGTGTCCTGCTCCATCTGCCTGGACATCTTGGACAACCCTGTGTCCATCAAGTGTGGCCACAACTTCTGCCACCAATGCCTCTCCAAGTACTGGGATGAGGTCCTGGCACAGGGTGAGGTAACCCAGTGCCCTGAGTGCCGGCAGCCATGTGCCAGGGACCACGTGATGCCTGACACGCGTCTGAGAAGTGTGGTGGAGAAGATCATAGAGATGGAGCAGGTGAGGCCACAGGCACCCCTCCCAGCAGCCCTGCTCTGGGCCTCTCCAGAGCCACTGCCTGGTTCAGGGGCTGGCATAGGGAAGGGGGCCCAATCCAGGCCTAATCCAGGGGCACTGGAGACCCCAGGTCTAACCCGTCTGTCCCCTGCAGAAGGCACCGCCGGCTCTTCCAGAGCCCATTAAAGCGGTGCAGGTCATGGATGTGGACAAAGATCAGCACCTGCTGACAAACGAGGAAGCACTGAGTTGCTGCCTAGAGCAGGAGACAGTGCGGAGCAGCCCCGTCTGCCTCATCTCCATCATCGGAGAGCAGCGCGGTGGCAAGTCTTTCCTCATGAGCCACCTGCTGCGCCAGCTGCGTCACCAGGTGAGCAGTGACAGGACCCTGCACCTGCCCCATGGTCAGGAGTCCTGGCTCCCAGCAGGGCCCCCAGACCACAGTCCCCCCCTGGAGCTGAGAAGAGCCCAGGTGCCCTGGTTCCTGGGACCCTGGCCCCTCCTCTCACCCACCAGACTCCCCTCCCACCCCCGACAAGCCAGGCTTCTGGGCTCCACCTGGCAAAAACTGGGACTTCATTCCCTTGCTCTGGGAACCCCACTTAACCCCCGTCCCTCTCTCCCCATAGGAGGCATCAGACAACTCCTGGATGACCTGGGAGGAAGAAGCTGAGAGCAGCTTTCCTTTCCGAGATGGAATGGACACTGTGACCAAGGGGGTGTGGATGTGGCCCCAGCCCCTTTGGGTCCAGGGCCCACAAGGGAAGGTAATGGGGTGGGAAGAGGAGGTGGTTGCGGGGATGACAGCCTTGCCTGGGCTGAGGGCTGGGAGGGGGTTGTCTCTTGCCATCCCTCCAGCACGTCCAAGCCCAGTGGGGCATTGGAGTGGTGTGGGGGCAGGGGGCAAAGGCCGCAGGGACTCACGATGGGGCTGGCTGCATCTGTCTGTCCATCCCTTCAGGTTGCCGTATTCCTGGTGGACACCGAGGGCTCCCTGGACCTGCAGCAGCACATGGAGACTAGTATCAAGCTCTGTGTGTTCAGCATCTTGCTCAGCTCCTACCAGGTACAGGGAGGCTACGATACAGGGAGCAGGGTTGGAGAGGGAGGTGCAATAAAGGGTGTCATGCTGCAGGCGTGAGGGGGTGGGGGCTCCAGGGGGTGCTGTAGAGCAGGGACTGGGGCAGGAGTGAGGTCAAGAGCCCCTGGCTTTTTAAGTCAGAGCTGCCTTGTCCTGGGTCAGACCTGGGTCCGTCCTGCCCAGTCTCCTGTGTCCCAGGGCAGCCAAGAGCAGAGGCTGAAAGGCAGAGTGACTGGGTCTGAGCAGGGTTTTCCCCTGTTCCTCTCTCCCTTCCAGCCTCCAGCACTGAGGGTCCAGGCAGCTCTGATGCAGAGGCCGTGCCCCTCACTCCCTGCTCCATAACCACTGATGCCCCTTTCCCCCAGTGCTGGATCCGATCCCTTGGCGAATCTGGCTGAACTCTCAGCTTCCACCCTTTCGTTATGCATTGGGGGGAACAAACTACCTTGTCCTCATTTAAAACTGATAACCTGCTCATTTCATGCTGTGACCCCTTGCTCTGGTCTGGTGAGAGACAGTCAGTAGTAAAGCCCTACTGACTTTGTCTTCTCCATTTCATTGTAAACCCTTCTCATACCCCTTTCAAGTGTTTCTTTTCTCAACTGTGTAGACCTGGCCTCATTAGTCTCTCCTCATAGGCAAGCCCCTCTGTAGCACTCATCATCCCTATCGCCCTTTTCTGGACCTTCTCTAGTTCCTCTATATCCTTTTGGAGGTGCAGGGACCAGAACTGGGTGCAGCCATCAAGCTGTGGACAAAACGTGGCTTTAAAAAAGGTCATCATGATAATTTTCGTTGTGTTCACAATTCCCTTCATCATCGTGATTCATCACTAACATGTTGTTGCCTTTTTCATGGCCGCTGAGCATGGAGCTGATGTTTTTAGCAAAATATCCACAATGCCTCCTGGATCTCTTTCCTTTGGGATAACAGCTCTGGGGAAGCCCATTGCAGGGCTGATCTGGTGTGGGTTATTTTTGCCCAGGCGCATCACTGCCATGTTTTTTCTGCTGATTTGCCCTAGATATTCAATATCTCCTCCAAGTTCAAACGCTCAGAAGAGGACTACTTGGAGGTGAGTCAGGTGGGAGAGACACACCCAGACTCCAAAGACACATGGGGCATGTCATTCCAGGGTGGAGGCAGGAGCCTGGGAGGTGAGAGAATTTGGGGGGTGATGAGCCTGGGGTCATTGGGGGCCCCTCCTGTAGGTTAGTAACTCTGAGACATCTGACTGCCTGGGAAGGGAGGTATGTTCACTCCACTTTCAGTAACTGGGCAGCTAGGAAATGTAATGAAGCGTTAATGATTAATTATTAACTGCTGGGGGGAGAAGCTCTGTGTCTTTGAACCTTATTTTCCTGACTTTGGCTATTGGATTCATGTCTTTGAACCCTCATTTCCTCAACCTTGGTTATTGGGTTTGTGTCTTTGAACGCTAGTCTCCTTGACTTTGGTAATGGGGCCCATACCTTTGAGCCCTGGTTCTTGACATTAGCTCTTGGTTAAGTGTCTTTGAACTTGAGCTTCCTTGACTTTGCCTGTTAGGTTTCTGTCTTTAAATGCTGTTCTCCTTGACTCTGGCTGTTGGGCTTGTGTCTTTGAACCCTGCTTTCCTGATATTAGCTATGGTGTCCAAGTATGGGTGGATCTAGATTCTAGGATTTGAAAAAGTGGGGAGGGTGCATCTTCATGTATAATACAACACAAAATTTCCCTCCACTTACAAGAAAACCAGATGCTAGGGCTATAGCCTTCAGTTTCAGATCAAAAAAGAAATATAGGTTGTTTGGAATGTCCATTCATTCGCGATATTCATAGACTCATGGAAAATGAGGGTTGCTGGGACCTCAGGAGGTCACATCTAGTCCAACTACATCATCCCAGCCAAGGCTTTGTCTACCCAGGTCTTAAAACCCTCCAAGAAGGGATATTCCACCTTGGAGGTTTTTAAGAGTCTACATTAAGGAAATATATTCTTGTTGGGTAAAACAAAAGAAACAAGACAATAATCAAAAGTTGTTTTTTTACTAGTGGCGTCATCATCAGAATTAAATGTTCATCTCTTACTCAAGTTTGTGACACAAAGTCTTGATTTCTTAAGCAACTGGACAGGACACCCCAGTGATCCCCAGGGCACTGAGTAAAGTTCAGCATGGCCAGTGCTCTGAGCTGCCCTTCACCTATAGTTCTCTGCATGGAAGAAAAACCTGTTTCCTCATCACTGTAGGTACAGGAAGCGTGCAAAGGATCTTGAGTGAGATAAGAAGGTTGAGATACCATTGTTTGTCGTGGTCTGCTGGGTGATCAATGGCTGTGCTCAGTGCTTCTCTTTTTCCACGCTCTCCTGCTTCTTCTTCCACATTTGAAACGCTGCCAAAACTACATCCTAGCTTTCTCATACGTCTTCCTCATACATCTCTAAGTTTTTCTGGTGGATACCGACTTGGGAAATGAGGTATTAGAAAACTTAGATCTGCTACAGTGCTGCCATGAGATTTGTATCTCTGTGTGAGTTCCTGACTTCTGAAGTCCAGAAATGAGCAATGGGAGTTAGTTGGAAAGTCCCCCGCAACACTGCCACATGGGATGCTGTGTCTGCCTTGTGCCTGCGCTGCAAGTCCACCAGGTGATGAGGTCCTGGCTTAGACAGACATGTTTTCCTTCTCTCTCTCCCCCATCTCAGATGTTCATTAAGGTCACAAGAGAGGTTGGCAACACATGCAATCTCAATCCACTTCAGGTGAGTCCTGCTGCTCCAGGGCTTTACTGCTTGCCTCATGGGACTGGGAAGAAAAGGATTCCCCTCCTATTTGTTTCAGATGCCTGAGATTTTTATTCATTACTCAGCAATGATGGGTGTTGGCTGCAGCCAGGGCTGGGAATTGTGACTGGGCTGTGCCAATGCTTCTGCTGGGGCTTAGCAAGCCTGGAGGGTCCTGGCTAGAGGGTCTTGCCCCTCTGCTCATGGTCAGCCCAGTTGCCAAATTGCAGATCAGGAAGGAACTTGATCCTCTGAAACAGGGGACACAGCCTGGGATGTGCTGAGCATTTTTCAATCAGCTCCTCCCTGCCATTGCAGTGGCAGGACAGTGGCAGTGCCCTCAGCCCTGAGCTTGACTGGTGAAAGTGGAAGGGGATGGTTTTGGGCTCTTCCTGGCAATTCGGTTGTTCCTGCAGTTCTATTGGGAACAGGCTGGTTGGACACTTGTCTGGGCCGGTTTCGAGAGGGATGATCCTGCCTTGATCAGAGGGTTGGGCTGAACATGACCTCTGGAGGGCCCTGCCAACCTGACTGGTCTCTGATCCTAACCCCATTCTTCTCCACTCTCTGTTCCAGCATCTGGACCTGCTGGTTCGGGACTGGCAACTTTCTCATGACTATGGAGCTGAAGGAGGAAGGAAATATCTGGACCATATCCAAGTGGTAATGGGCAGAGCTGGCTGCCGGCTTTCATGGACTCCTAATCTCCAATCTCCACCCCACCTCTCTCCCCTCAAAAAAGTTGCTTCTTCGCCCTATTGAACATTTTTCTGGGTGACTTTATTGTCTCCTGTCTTGATCCACAGGATCTGAGGAAAAGTCCTGGCCATGACACGGTCCTGCAAGTCCTACAGGCAGAAACAACTCAGTGTTACCTTTTGCCCCACCCTGGCATGCAGTTCATTGGAAGGAGTGAAGGGACTTTAGCTGGTAAGAGACCCTGAGTCTGTCCCCATCTCCTTGTCTGCCTCCTGTTTCTTGGCTACTCTAAGGTTTGAGTGCTGTTGAGATCCTACAAGGCTCTTACTGGACCCCTGGCAGAGGTACAACCAGAGCTTGTCCCTAGAGGGTAACAACCCAGGGGACTGGGAAGAGACAAGGTCAGAGAAGAAAAATCCTGGTGAGAGTCAGGAGAGCAGGAGCAACTTGAGCAGGAGGCAGAGGCTTACCATGGACTGGCAGTCACCCTAGGTGGTGCCGCAAGCTCAGGCCAAGGCCAGGAGGGAGGGGTCTAGAGCAGTGTCACTAGCCAGGGGGGCAGAGCAGGCAGCTGGGGCTGCAGGGGATGGGACGTCACCAAGTCAGGCAAAGCGCGAGCAGCCGGCCTCCATAGGAGAGGGGTCTGAACTGGAGTCAGCAGCATGGGGGTTGGGGGTCAGCGAGCCAGCAAGTGAGAGCAGAGCACAGGGGCCTGGGCTGGAGTCAGCCAGCAGCGACCCAGAGAGGACCCAGGAGACAGACCAGCCCAGGGATGGCTGAACAAGGCATCCCAAGTAAGAACCATGGCTCCAGGGGCAAAGAGCCAGAAGCCCAGGCAGACTGCTGGGCACTGACAGGGCCATGGCAGATAAGCAGGGACCAAGACCCTGCAGGCCAGCTGGGAGCATCCAGGCCAACTGAGGCAGCCAGGTCCAGCTGAGGGCAACTGAGCCTGTCTTCTGCCCTAGCTTCTGATACTCCACATGGGGACTGATGTATCTTGTCCCTGCTGTCAGCATCATGCTCATATTGTTTCCAGGAGGGCCCTGTCCCTGAGCACTCCTAGACACTTGGGTCCTTTCCCACCCTCTTGCAGACATGAGTGAGCCATTCAGGCACCACCTGAGGGCCTACGTCACTGGCGTGGTGGACTCTGCTGGTACGAGCTTTCGGACGAACTCAAAAGGAAATGTGCTGACTGGAGGAGAACTGATGGAGAGGATCAAGGTGACCATTAGTGCTGGCCATCAGATGTTGTGGAGGCTGAGAGTCCAGCCAGATTCACCCAGGGAGGGGACACATGCTTGAAGGAAAGGGGCATGGGCATCTTTGGAGCAGAAAGTAAGGGGCACGGCCTCTGCATCAGAGCTGTCTGGACCCTCAGTGTTGGCAGCTGCAAGGGAGAGAGGAGAGGGGTAAACCCTGCTCAGACCCTGTCACTCGCCGTTCCAGCCTCCGCTGTTTGCCCCATGGGACACAGGAGACTGGGCAGGATGGACCTGGGTCTGACCCAGTAAATGGCAGGTTTTATGTTCTTACTAGTCTGTGCCCCACCCTGCACCGCACAGCACAGTGATGGCCAGTGCCGTGCGTGGCTCTTGCCACCAGCCTGGGACCAAAGGGCCAGTGCTGCCTAAGGAAACCCTTTGCCATACAGCACCCTGGATGGGCCAACACCCTGAGAGCCTGAGGAGGAGAGCTGCAGCTGGGGCTGGGCCAGGCCAGGCTGGGCAACATGCAGACTCCTCCGCCCCCTGCATCTACCCCCATGTCTAGCTTCCTGCTGGGGCTGCACTTTCCTGGCACCAGAGCTGCAAGAAGATGGGATCACATGGGATGGGGCATGATGCAGCATGCCAAGGAGCCATCCTTGCCCACCCAGCTGCCTGCCATGATGAGCCTCTGCTGCTGCACGACACTGGGAGAGTCGGGGGCTGCTGCCCCAGGCCAAGTGCCCACCATGGACTAGTAGCACTGTGGTGACAGTGGCTCATCGCAGCAGAAAGGCAGGATGGCTACTTGGCATGCTGCATCATGCCCCATCCTGTGTGGGCCCTACTGTCAGCGGCCACAGTGCCAGGCCTGTGCAGCCCCAGCACCAACAGGAAGCCGGGCCAGGGGGCACAGATGTGTGCAGGGGGTTGGGAAGAGGAGAGGTCTGCATGCTGCATGGCCTGGCCTGGCCCCAGCTGGGCAACTCTCCCTCCTCAGGCTCCCAGCCATGGCTGGAGGGCTGGATAGGATCAAGTGGTGCTTTGCCCACCCCAGTCTCTCCTCACAGGGAGGCTCCTCTGTGCCACTCAGAGACAGAGCTAGAGCTAGTGCAGAGCTAGACGAGGTCCAAAGAAGGGAAGAAAGTATGATAGGACCGTGTCTAGATCTTTATCCTTGCTGAGGGCTGAACAGAACTGGGTGTTATCCCAGGTCTGGACTTGTAGTATTCCAGGAAGCTAAACGTGCCACGGTCTCAACCCTCCTCGCACGAGCTGCCTTCCCGTCCATCATCGTGCTGTCCCTTGCCTCAGCAGCCCCTGACTTTCCTGCTTTGACCTCTGCATGCCCTTCTTAAGCTGTGAGGCCAGACCTGCAGCCAGTCCCCTCCATGAAGCCTGACCAGTGCTGGGTAGCGAGGCACAGTCACCTCCCAGGTCTTGCACCTCACTCAGCTGCCCACAACAGTATTTTCTTGACTTCTGCTTCCACTTGCTGAGATGCACTGAATCGGTCATCCACTACCCCTTTGGACTCTTTGGTCTGGCTTCAGGGCTCAGCAGTGGATGCCACGAAACAAAGCAGCCATTGCCCTGACTCTACCCCCGTGTATCTCTTCCCAACAGGGCATCTCCCAGTACCTGAACAATAAGAACTATGGCTTCAGCTCCCCTTGCACGGTAACACATGTCCCCTTCAAACCTCCCCTCCACCACAGTCCCACCAAAATGAGGTGCTGGAAGCGGGGGAAGAGGGACCATAAGTGCCAAGAGGGGGTCATTCAATAGGCTCAGGGGTCCCCCATTCTCTACACCCTGCCAAGAACCATCTCTGCCCCCATCTGACTGGCTCCAGCAAGGCCACAGGGCATGGTAGTGGGGAGAGCAGGCCTGGAAGATGCCACCTGGGGGAGTAGATATAAAGGGTGGGGCATGGGGGCTCCATTTTGGAAGCAAAGGGGTGGCATCATTTGGCTACAGGGGCTGTAGAGAGTGCCTGAGCATGGGTCCCATCTTCTGGCTGGATCCACAACCCATTCCCTATTCTCTGCCCCACCCTCTCTTCTCCAGATGGCAAAGTCATTTGCAAATATAAGAACAGTGCAAAGAATTAAGGAGAAGTATTCTGAATTTCTGCAGGAGCAGGTGAGTGTGTGGGGCTCCAGGCTGGGAGGGAAGGGCACTGGCAGGGCCAAGGAAGGCAGGGGCCTGCAGGTCAGGAAGGAGGGGCACTGGAGTGCTGGGTGCTGCAGGTCAGGAAGGAGGGGCACCGGCAGGGCTCAAGGGAGACCAGGGGTAGGCAAGGAGCAAGGCCTGGGGGTCAGGAGTGAAAGGCATTAGCTGGGGTTAAGGGAATGTGGCTTTCATAGTATGGGCCCATGGTTCAGGAGTGAGTGGCCTCATCATGACCAGGGGAGCCCAGTGCTGGGTGACAAGGGATTGACAGACTTGAGGGGCACCAGGAGAGCTAAGAGAGTCCAGTGCCAGGGCTGGGAGCAAGGGGAATTGGTAGGGCTGAGTGGTGCAACGTGGGCAGGGGGCTCTGGGTCAAACTGGGGGGCCCTCACAGGGCTGGGTTAGGAGTCCAGGGCTGGAGGTTTGAAGGGGACCTGCAAAGGCCTGTGGGAATGTCCAGTATCTCTCCTCAAATACCAGGATGAAAGCACCCAGGCCATGGTGCAATGCTTGAAGGTGAAACTCAGCAAAATGAGGCAGCACCTGGACCAGAAACTCCAGGACTTCAAGCAGAAATGTGAGGCTGAACTGCAGGGAAAGGAGGCCCAGAAACAGGAGATCCTGAAGGAGCTGGAGAAAGACCTGGGAGAGAAGATGGAGGCGTACCTGAAGAAGTACCAGAAGCGGTACCGGAAGAAGGCTATGATGGCGGGTTTAGCTGTGGGGGGCAGTGCCCTGGCCTTGGCTGGGGGGGCCATTGGAGCAGTGACCGCAGGGATGATTGCAGCAGAGGTGACTGTCATGGCGTCTGGGGCAGCGGTGGGCGCTGGAGGCCTGGGTGCTGTTGGTGCCGGGGTGGGTGCAGCAGTGGCGCGGTTTGTTGCCAGAAGGAAGACCCAAAACACCACAGTGCGCTACAGCAAGGGCACTGCAGGTGAGGGGGAAGTCATAGATGATTCAGAGAACATGCCCCTGCTGAGAGGGGTCAATGGTTGACATGCGCCTTCCTGCCCCTGAGCCCTGGGAACCCATGGGTGTGACAGCTGACAAGTACGTCTGTGTGATAAAGGTGCTTGCTGAAGGCTCTATGAAGTTTAGACCAAGGGTTTTTCTGCATTTGTTTAGATATTAAGCTATATGTTGTTGCTAAGAGCTTAATTAAAGTTTAAAACGTAGTAAGGCCTTGAATAAAGTAAGGCCTAGTAAATTTAGCAAAGCCTTGAAATAGTAAGGCCCTGTGGCATAGTCAAAATTATCTTATCAAAGTATTGCAAGGCTTGTACTGCTATTGGTCAGTCTAAGGACAGTTGAAGTAAAAAGAATCTGAGTGGTTGTACGTTATCAGAACCATTCAGAAGCTATAAATTAGCTGGAATATCCGGAAATCATTCTGAAGGAAGATACAGCTCTGTGAAAAGGATTAGTTAGCTGTTGGCCTAGATCAGTGGGCCCGTGGACCTCGAGGAGCCCAAAAACTGAATTCCAGGGTCCTTCCCGGTACCTCTTGGACAGCGCTGATCGGGGACACCTGACTTCGCTGAACTTTGTGGAAAGAGAAATTTGTTGTACATCAGGCATCAGAGGGGACTGCCGATAAGTTGCTGACGCAAATTGCTTTTGTCTGTCATTGTTTGTCTTGTTACTACATGTAGTTGTGTTTTTGTTAAGTCAATAAACCTTTCTTACCTTTCTACCCCCAACCACACTCTCAATCCCAAACCCTCCGCAGGTGGCTGGGACATGTAGACAAGAGCGTGCAGGGGTGGGAGGCTAGATGACAAGCTAAGGGAGGGAGGGATGGACATGTTTACATAAGTGCACTATGGGAAGATGCTGAATATGACCAGGAGAATCTGAAGTTACTTTCTGTTGAATCTGCTAATGGCACTGGATACATCATTTTGCTTTGTTTCATGTGCATTTTGTATGCAAGACCGTGAGGGTGGGTGGAAGGACAGAAGGGAGGATGGGTGGATGGATGGATGGTTGGGCGGATGAATTGTTGGATGGATGGACAGACAGGCAGATAGACACAAGGAAGGATGGATGGATGACAAGAGAAGGGAGGAAGGGATGGACATGTTTGCCAACCTGCATTATGGGAAAATGCTGAATGAACACAAGAGAATCTAAAGTTTCTGCCTGCTGAATCTGCTAAGGGCACTGAGTGCATCATTTTGCTTTACGCTCGCTCTGCCCTGTGCTCGGCGCCTGGCAGCACTTCCCCATTCTTGTGTCTGGACTCATGCATCCATGGAGCCTGGGACCGCCATAACACCAGCCTGTTCTCCACAGCTGCACAAGAAACCCTCATCAGCCCCTGCTGGACATGGTGCCCATCACCGTCACCCTCACTTGCCCCAGGTCAAGCAGGGGGCTGGCTGAAGACACTGCCAGTGTCCTGCCACTGCAAGGAAAGGAGGGAGTTGCAAATCCTCTTCTCTGGATCCTCTTCTTGTGTTGGCCTCTCATCCACCCCCTTCTCCTCTCAAGGGTCTTTCCCACTCCAACCTCTGACAGTGGTGCCATGTCCTGGTCACCTGGATCTTCCTGGGAGAAAAGAGGACCCTTCTGGCCTTGCCTCTAGACTGGAGACCTCCTCCCCTCTATCCTACCTCAGTTGCCTTGACTGCAACATAGCTCCATTTCTTGGCTTCTCTCGGACCAGTAACAGGCAACCTGAGGGGCCTGTATTTCATAGACATTAGGGCTAGAAGGGACCTCATGAGATCATTGGGTCCAGCCCCCTGCCCAAGGGGCAGGAAGTCAGCTGGAGTCAGATCACTCAAGCAAGATAAGGATCCAGGCATTTTTAAAGGTATCCAGACAGTGCCAAAAGGCTGAAAAGTAGCATCAGGCTACTGCCCTCAGGAGGAATAAGGAAGCAAAAGAGTAATTATTTTCCCCCATGTCACAAACCTTTTTCTGGTTTCCTGCTGGGTGGAAAAACTACACATATCCCCTATCATAGGGCTAAACAGAAAGGCTCAAACTAACCCTGTATTTGCACTTCCTTTCCCTCTTCTGCCATCACTGCCCTTAAAATAAAATCTGAAAGTAGGTGTCTGTTAGAATGCAAGGATATCCCTTGATAGAGCATGTTCAGAGTGGTGTATCATAGGAAAATAAAATTAAAAGGAAGCGTACAAGATCATGCATATTGGTCACTTATAAAAGCTATTCCTTACCCAAGTATGGTTTGAAAGGCAGTAATCTGTACCATGATATCTAGCAGGGAGAGGACCTTGCACCACTTCTGGGGGAAATCTATTCCAGACTGGAAATTCAAACGGTAAAGAAGGTTTTTTTCCTTATGTCCAGTCTAAAACAGTCTTCCAGCAGTTTGTGACGATGAGACCTTGTCTTCCCTTGGGGAGCCCTGGTGAACAGACCTTCTCCCAGTTCCTGATGCACACCCCTTATATACTTATAGGCTGCCACCAAGTCCTCCCTGAGCCTTCTCTTCGCCAGACTGAAGAGCCCCAAGTCCCTCAGCCTCTCCTCGTACGGCTTGTTCATGCACGTGGCCTTCCGAAAGGTGGGAGTCCAGAATGGGATGCAGTCCCCCAGCCGCATCCTCACCAAGGCCGAGTAAAGCAGGAAGATGACTTCTTGGGTCTTGCTTGAGATGCATCAGTAGATGCAAACCCATTTTATTTGCTTTGCTGGCTGCAGCATCGCATTGGCAGCTCATGTTCATCTTGTGGTCATTCATGACCCCCAAGTTTCTTTCAGTCGTGGTGCTAGTAAGTGTAGCACTGCCGAGCCTGTAAGCATGATGTGGGGTTTTTTGCCAGGGGTGGAGCACCTTCAGGTTTGGTTTTGCCCACCTTGTGAGCCTGTCCGGGTCGGCCTGAATTACCAGCCTATCCTCTAGCATAACCGCACTTCCATATAATTTGGTGTAATCTGCAAATTTAGCCAGTCCGCTTCTGACACCTGAATCTAGATCATTTATGAATATATTAAAGAGTACTGGTCCAAGTACTGAGTACTGTGGGGTGCCACTGGTCACCATGCGCCATGTTAACTTGGTCCATCAGCTATCACTCTCTGGGTCCGATCACAGAGCGGGTTCCCCAGCCATTGGACCGCAAGGTTGTCAAAGCTGCAGTTCTCCAATTTTACCATCATGGAAGACCAAGTCAAAGGCTTTTTTGAAATCTAAATATATGACATCAACCTCTCCTTCTCTGCCCAGGTGGTGTGTCACCTGGTCATAGAAGGAAATGAGGTTGGTCAGGCAAGACCTACTCACAATGAAGCCACATTGGCTCTGTCTCAGAATGTTGCCTTCTGTTAGCCTGTTGTTGATGGTTTCTTTGATGATTTTTTCCAAGATCTTTCCAGGGATTGAGGCCAAACTGATTGGCCTCTAGTTTCTTGGATCTTCCTTCCTTCCTTTCTTGAAAGATAGGCACCACAGTAGCCCTCTTCCAATCTTCAGGAACCTCTCCCAAGTACAGCCTAAACCCCTGCAACAAGTTCTCAAATATCCTCACAACTGGATGTGCTATGATGTCAGCCAACCCTTTTAGTGCTCTCGGGTGCATTCCATCTGGGCCAGCTGACTTGTGTATGTCCAGCCTCTCAAGCTGTTCCCTCACAAGATCTTTGCCAATTAAAGGTGTAGGATTGCCCTTAACCTTAGTAGTTCTGAGTCCTGTCAGGCAGGGTGATCCCCTTGGGATGGTGGAAAACTAACACAAAGCAATCGTTGAACACATTAGCTTTTTCCACCCCAAGAACTGCCTGTCAAATCCTAGGCTGGCAGGGTCACATCAAGCCTAACCCCTGTTCAGGGTAGGACCAGCCCTGCCTCAACCATCCCAGACAAGGGATTGGCCAACTGTTCTTATAACCCCCCTAGGGACTGGGAGTCTTCCTTGGAGGCGTGTGGAGTATCTGAACAAAATCGACACGGGGAAGTCAGGCAATGGAGAATCAGACCTCAGAGCAGCAAATATGACTAGAGACAATGGCAGTAAGACGTGATGCCAGGGTGGAAGAGCCAGCCTAGTTCAAACTAGAGCAGAGAAGACTGAGGGGGGAATGGACACCAGGGTTTGGTGAGCCCTGTACAAACCTTCCCTCTCATGCTCCCCCTGCTCAGCCCAGAGACTCCCACTGCAGAGTAGGAGTTTTGAAGCGATGGGAGCCCAAGAAGGGTGGCTATGCCTTAAGGAAACAATCCTTCGGGCACAAAGCAAGACGGTCCCCATGCGAGGTAAAAGAGGGAAAGGGGCCAGGAGGCTTCCCTGGCTGACAACAGAAATCCAGGGCAGCCTAAGGGCCAAAAGGGGAGCACATAAAAAGTAGAAACAGGGAGAGATCACCAAAGACGAATATACCTCCTCTGCTCGTGCTTGTAGGGAGGCAGTTAGACGGGCCAAAGCTACCATGGAGCTGAGGATGGCAACCCAAGTAAAAGACAACAAGAAATTGTTTTTTAGATATATAGGGAGTAAAAGGAAGGCCCAGGGAGGAATAGGACCCCTGCTAAATGGGCAGAAACAATTGGTGACGGACAGGGGGG